TCCCCCGCCCCCCTCCCCGCGGTGGAGAGCCTTGGCAGCAGGCCTCCAGGGGAACAGCTTGGTAGGTTGTATAGCCTGGGTCCATGCTTTTCTACACTTGGTGCTCCGCCTCCTGGTTTTTTGGGACCAGTTGTGTTATGGCCTGTGTCCTCACTGAACTCTGCTGCTCCTCTCCTGTCCCGGCCTGTGATGGAGGGCTAGTTACCCCCCCTCCTCCATTGGTGAGGTCAGGCAGAGTGGTGACACTCCTTCCTTATGGCTGGGCAAGTCCGCATGGAAAGCTTCCGCTTCCCTGCTAACACCAGGATGGCAGAGATCCCAGGTGAGCCCTGGAGGGATCCTTGGGCACACATCCTTCCTGGGCCACGTCCTTGCCTCTGCGCTGTGCTGTGCACTTCCTGCGGCCACTGGCCTGCAGCACAGCGTTCTGGTTACAGGGTGCCCAGCTGCTTTGCTTAGTACCCTCCAATGAAATCAGTGGATCTCTCGGAGGTACAGGCGACGCCTGGTAACGCAGAGCCATCGCCCCGGCGGTTGGTTAGGGTTCCCCGGGTCTGACGGCGAAAGGCCCCCCACAGCATCCCAGGTCACGCTGCTTGGTTTTGGGATTCCCAAGCAGAGAGAAACTTCCACAGTCGAGGTGGCCCGTGCTCTCTTCCATCCTGTCCACCTCCCCTGCATGGACTGCTGGTGCTAAGCTTTTGGAGAGCTCCTCCCTTGCTGTGTAGTAACAGACGCCTTGGTGGCAGGAGTAGTAGAAACAGCACCTCCCGTGGCCCCGCATGTGCTCGGAAAAGAGCCGGTGGTCACCTTGACGGAATTTCAGCATCTTAAGAAGGAGGGGGTTTCCTTGTCGGATCATGTGAGGGCCCGGACTGGTGGTGATGCTTGCCAGGGGGGGTTTGATCCGGGCAGGGGCGGGGAGAGCTGACAGCCCCAGCCAGCGTTCTGGGGGTGCTAGTGGGGGTTGCCGCCCTCTGAGGGGAGAGGGTGACGTCAAACAAGTTGCCGGAGAGGTGCTGAGATGCCCCTGATGACGCGTTTGGTTTCTTTTTGAGGTTGTGGCGTTTTATTGAAGGTTCTGTTTTGCTCCTTAATGTGTATTTTGATCGTTCAGTGGAGAATATGGCTGATCTGTAGTAACCTTTGAAAAAGGGAATTCATGGTTGTAGTATATTATGTAAAACGTCAAAATATTGTTTACTTATCTGCAAAAATGCTTTTTGGGTGGTCCCGCACAGTTCAGCACTTGCCTTACTCAGAGCGGAGACCATTCCCGAGCTGTACTTTTGTTATTTAAAACTGGTGTGAGCTCCTCAGTAGTTGGTGAGGCGGACGCTGGGCCTGGCCTGGTCTGGCTTGCAGGGCCCGAGCGGTTCCTGTAGAGGTGGCGGGTTGGGGTTGGTTGGATCCCCTGGGTCTGAGCCTTTGTGCAGGTGAAGCCCTCTCTTTCTTCCTGTTGGGGGGAGGAAGCCGTGGTCGGAGAGGGGCATATCTGCCATCTTTGTCATGGGTGACCCTGGACTCACTTTTGTCTTCTGTTCTAATGTCACCATTAGAGGTGTTTCTGTGTGACAAGTAGACAACTCCTTGAAAAAAGGCTCTAAACCTGCCGACTCTTTGCAAGAGTTGTCACGAGTGTTTGCGTTAAGTCCCCCGTATTTAAGAGCAGAGAGCAGCCCATGTTGACATTTGGGTGATGGAAGTCCTCTAGAACAGAAAAGATTTATATCCATCTCTTCATTGCTCCCCACCCCCCAACCTCCACTGATTGGGAACTCTGATTAGTTACATCACCTTATTTTTTATAACAACAGAAGCAAAAAAAAAAAAAAAAAAAGTAAAAAGTACTACCCCGAGATAAAGTTCTCTCTTTTAAGATAGTGTAATTCTGTGAAGCAAAAGGACAAGTTATGAATATTCTAGTTAAAGAATTGATCAGGAAATATTAAACTCTCCTAGTTGATGTTTCTTCTTCGTTGGAATCTTTCATCGTAAAAATGTATAAAGAGGAGGTAGCAGTGACTTATGAAAATAACTGCTTGGCTAATAGCTCATTCTCGTTACAACTCAGAGCCGCAAACACTTGGGAAGGGGTTCGGGGTGGGCACGGCAGGGTGTTCCAGGCTGCACACGGGTGTCAAGTGAGCTCACAGACTGCTGGCGGTTGGAGTGTGTGTGAGAAAGAGGCTTGCCCCTCCGCACCACCCCTTCCTGCAGGTCGCAGCTCTAGGTGGAGAGAGGAGGGACGGAGGTCTCACCAGGGCCTGATGCCAGCCCTGGGCCTTCACGCTCCATTCTCACTGTTCACTGGGAGCCCATGTGGACTTTGGTTTTAGCAAATCCATCTTGATATTCTTTGTCAGGACAGTTTTGTAAAGAAGCCTTTATGTTACTGGAATTAATTTGCTCGTTTGAAGGTAGCAGAGTCTAAATTTTATCCACTGTGGTAATGGCAAACATGGAGATTTTTGCTGCAAAGGCAGTTGTCCCAAGAACTCTGGAAAGCACTAGTTTCATATAGCTTCAAAGTCATAACATCGAAGTAAGGTTATGATTATAGTTGAACAAAGAAAAAAAGTGATATGACACCAAAATTAGCATGTGCATAAATGGTTTTAAAAGATCTTTTCAGACAGATGCTATGTTACAGATGCTCATTTCTGAAGGTGATCTTTTGGCCTGCCAGATTAGCATCTTCAGCATACATCAGTTTGTCCTGCTTTTGCGGAGAATGCTCTCCTGTCACTCTGAGGTTTGGCCAGAGTGAAGGATCTCATTCTAGGATGAAGCATCGTTTCCTCACGGTCGATGTCTTGGCCTGGGAACGTGGGCTTGCTCCTTGCCTCAGATGTTAATGTCTCGATGTAACTATCCCTGCTTGTAGGGACCGGCGGCTGGGGCACTGGCTCCCACCCAGGATGGGTGCAGGTGTTTGAGTCCAGGCGAGGCTGCCTATGCCGTTGGGGCTGGGTTGGGCTCCAGGAGGGCTGATCCTGAGCCGGACAGTGGCAGGTGGAGAGCCCAGCGCTGAAGTTACGGGGCCAGTGTGCTGTGGCATGAGGGGTGTGTTTGGAAGTTGAGATTTTGTTACTTGATGGCACTCTGGCCTTTCCTCGGGGCTAGAAAGCAGGGTTGGCATTCCGTGAAGCCCTGTGGCACTGACGGGGATGAATGGGCCACGCCGCCGTCCTGTCGCATCGACCATGCAGGTACTACCCCAGGTACATTACGTTTTTCTCTGGTTTTCGAGCGTCGTGTTGCTGTAGATGTATTGAAGTCTAAAGACACTTTACTCTCATCAGAACTCTGCCAAACTTGGACATGTTGTCGGTCACTGCGGAGTCTGGTGTGGTGGCTGACTCTGGTTGTGTGAGTGGGAAAGTTGCCGAGGTTGTCCCACGTGGGTCTTGGACACCGGGGACATGTCCTGCAGCTGTGGGGGCAGCGGGCACAGCTGCCTGCAGAGGGAGGGGGCCTGGGTGCAGGGCTGGCTTTAGGCTAAAGGCCTTAGAGTTTTCCTTTTGATACACTTGGGTAACAGTGACATTTGTGGAGCAGAAAGACCCTTTCAGAGCTGTACACGGCTGGCCCTGGACAGCTCTGCTGAGCGTAGGACGGAGGTCGCTTTCCTGAGCGTTTGCCTGTGCACTGCTGGCTTGCGGGGGGAGGCCATTCTTCCTTACCGTCTGTTTGGGCTTTCCCCGTGACTGTCCCCATCGTCTTAAGGGTGGACAAAGCCATCTTGGTGACTGGGGGTGGGATGGTGTTTCAGGCATATGTGGGTGTCTTTTGGAGCTGGTGGTTCTCATCTTTTGGCAGTAACCAGGAAGGGGGTCCCTTAGACCCTCCTGGGGTATCTGTTCTCTCTTACGGATAACTTACCGCACTGGGGACAACGCGTGCTGTGTGCTTGTGGCAGAATTACTGGAGTTTGAAGAGTCGAGGACTTTCCAAGTCCTTTACATTTGCCATGTGAGGGGTAGATCTGTATGTGTTAGGGCCCCATAAGGAAGTATTTAGGAGAGTGGTATCTCTGCTACCTGGGTGGTCGATGAACATGAATGTGAGGGGCCAAAGGGGCTGGCCCCAGGATTGTTCTGTTGCCTCTGGGCCATGGTGGTTGAGTGCCTGGGCTCTCACTTGTGCCGTGGAAGTTGCCCTGAAGCTCCTGCTCAGAGTTGCTGACAAGTGGGCACCAGGTCCCCTTGGGCAGCAGTGTTTGATCAGCACGGGACTGACCCAGTTCAGACCCTGCCCTAGAAATGAAGCAGCTCAGTGGGGCAGAACAGGGACACACACGTGTCTGTTTCCTTGAAATCAAAATAAAGGTAGTTCCTGGTATGCTTCTAAAGCCCGGTTCAGTATATAAATGTGAGCTTTCCTCATTTTAAGTGATATATTTGAAGAAAGCTTCTTTATAAATAGCTAATCATGTGTGAGTTGATCGAGACATAATTAACAACTGTTTTTGAAAATCTTGAAGCAGAGATCTTTAAAAGGACTCCGGAGAAACTTGCCTTAGGTTTGGGGAATTTGCAAAGTTCTCA